GAAATCTCTTTATTTCCCTGGGTCTTGGTTTCCCCAGTGGGAACATTATTAGTAGAATCAGATCATCTCTTTGGTCCTTCCAATTCCAAAATTCTGTGATTTTTTTTTTTTAGGCATGAATTATAGCCAGAAAAGTGGTGTTAAAAGGCAGACAGCACTCCAGTGGAGATTAAGTTACTGCTCTGGTTCACAGGCCTAGATTTGTTTCCCCAAACCTTCAACACCTACAGACTCCTGCTTGTCAAGATAAAACCTTCCCTGCCTAATAGGAAGTCCCGTGAAGGAGCTACCAAGTCTGTCTGGACTGTTGTATCCCCAGGGCCAAGTACACGTTGGATACTCAATGTTTATTGGTTTGAATGCAGAAGATAAATTCGTATTTTAATGAAGTGGTTTTCAACTCTGTGCCATCTAAGAAACATTTTAAGTTCTCGCTCCTCCAGGCTGCTCCATTAACCAAGTATTTATATTGTCTTTGCATTGCCTGTAATTAGTTGTTTTGGTGTTTATCTTTCCTCCTAGACTTTATTTCAGGGCAAGAATTCTTATTCCTGCTTGTGTCCCCAGCATGTTCAGCCCATAACAAGGAGCCAGCACTCTTTCAGTGAGGCACATTAATAGTGAAGACAAGCTTTGCACTTTAGAGACTGTATGAGAAAATACATGCAGTAACCACTAGATAAAAGAAGGTGAATCTTTCCCAAATACCCAGAATAAACCATCTCGTAATATAAGAAAATAGTTTGGGGTTCAAAAACTCAAGAATGTAAGCAAAAATCCTTGTGAAACAGTTTGTTTCCTTTCTTTTAGTATATGCAAATATGATCCCACCCAAACTTTTTTTTTTTTTTCAACGTTTATTTATTTTGGGGACAGAGAGAGACAGAGCATGAACGGGGGAGGGGCAGAGAGAGAGGGAGACACAGAATCGGAAACAGGCTCCAGGCTCTGAGCCATCAGCCCAGAACCCGACGCGGGGCTCGAACTCACAGAGTGCGAGATGGTGACCTGGCTGAAGTCGGACGCTTAACCGACTGCGCCACCCAGGCGCCCCCCCACCCAAACTTTTATAGAGAGCAGTGAAAGGGTCTATTTACAGCCTAAGGAAAAAAAAAATTTTTTTTTTTTTAATCCAGTTAGGAAAGGAATCTCCTAACTCAAACCCATACTAAACTCCATTCTTCCTACCCACTAAAGAAGAAAAAAATTCCCTCATGTCTGTACTGAATCTCGAAGTGATACACTATATATATTGGACCTACTTACTAAATAATTAATTGCCTGGAATAACGACACTCGAAAAGGGTCACTCACCCAGGTAATACAAGGTTTTTTTCTCTTCAGGGCATGAGTAGGCAAGAGAGTGAATTAAATTTGTTTAAAACTGTTGGTTGAAAACATAGATCTGGCAAACTTCTGGTGGTTGTTTAAAGAACTTTGTTTATTTCTATTGGTCAGTAAAGCTCTATGAGGCCACATGCAAAAATTCGGTCCTCTGTTTAATAGTAGGAAATCCACCTGCGGTCTTGACATGACTTTAATCTGCTCCTTGGAAGGAGATTTCTGTGCAAAGATTTCTCTTTTCCTTCACTCTTCCTGAAAGGCTTTCAGGAAAAGCACATTTAAAACCAAAGTTTTATTCCTAAGTAGGTCTTTTATTAACGAGTGTTTAGCCTTCCTACGATACAACTAGTTTTTTTAAGGTAAAAAAAAAAAACACATTATTTTCTTGGATATTATAATCATTTGGGTTGAATTTTTGTACCTGGAGGCAAATCATAGCATAAATTATATTTCCTCACTCATTTTATTTTAAGGCAAGTTTCATTAAAAGCCATGCTGTGTTATACTAGATTGTACTACCTGGAAATAGACACTGTCTTTAGTTTTTTACCAGCTACAGTGTTTTCAGTGTTAAACAAGTATTTGTTAATTTTGAATTGCCAAAGTAAAGACACCCAAGTACTGTTCTGCTGAAAGTTTATGTGAAAGAAAAGGGGGAGGGGCTCCTAAAGTTACTTTGTAAGGTTCTTAATATCCAAATAATACCCCAGACTCTGGGTAAGAGATTAGGTGACCTCTCTAAGCATATATACTCCTTCTTACCTTATAGGATTGCATGAAGATCAATTAAAATAATGTATGGAAAGGGCCTAGTGGCATAGTAGCTACTCAGTACGTTTATCTCTTCATCTTTGTAATCCTTAGTGCCACAATAGCATTTAGCACATAGAAGTGCTTAATAAATGTGGTTGAGTGGCACTGCTGAATCCATTAGTCTAGAAGACACAGGCATAACAGGTACACAGTTGCATACAGTGTGAACAAGTGCCATCAGGGAAGTACCATTTACGGGGCAGCATGAACTAAGAAGAAACCCTAAGCCAGCCAGGGGAAATCCTACAGGCCTTAGAAGGAGTGTACCAGTAGAGCTGAGACTTGAGGAAGGAGTAGGGTTTGCCAGGGAGATCAGATGAGCTAGGGAGTATAAGGAAGAGTAGTGACACATGGGTCAGAGTAAGGATATACAGGAGAGCATGTCCTTTTCCCCTAGTAGCAGTGGGGTTAGAATAGAAGGCTGCGAAGGTAGTAGGCAGAGATCAGATGATAAAGAACTTATATGCCATTAATGACTTTTCATGAAAGCAACAGTTGTTGAAGTTTATTCATTCAACAAATGATTATTGACTGGCTACTGTGTGCTAGGCACTGAAGAATGAAAACATTCCTGCCCTATAGAATTTACATTCCAGTGGATATACAATCAAAACGAAGACCTTGCAAGTCATTATAATAACTTTGGCTTAGAATCATAGTGAGATTGAAAACCACTGGAAGGTTTTCAGTGGAAGAGCAACATTATCTGACTTACTCCAGCTGTTGAGAATAAACTGGACAATGGCAAATGCTGGGATATAATTGATTGCGATTTGGGCAAGAGACAGTGATGTTTAAAGCAAATGGTGGTCATAGCAGTGGAGTGGTAAAATGTCAGATTCTGGATAATTTGAAGGTAGAACGAATAGGATTTGCTGATAGCCTGGAGGTGCTATTTGAGGGGTAACCTGAGCAAAAGAATGGAGTTACCATTTACTGAGTCAGCCAAGACTACAGACAAGTGTTGCACCTGTTGAGTTTGAGTTTGAGATGCCTATTAGACATCCAGTGGAGATGTTGTCTCCCAGACATTTACGTATACAAACCTGGAGTTCAGGAGAATGTTCCTAATTGGATCTATGAATTTGGGAGTTCTCAGCGTAGATGGGATTTAAAGCCAAGCTGTGAATGAAATTTGGCAAGATCACCAAGGAAGTGAGGAGAGGAGAGGGCAAAGGACAGAGCCCTGGGGCACTGCAGTATTTAGAGGTTACAAGAAGGAGAAGGAAACTGACCAGTAGAGCAGCCAGAAAGGAGAAAGAAAAACCAGGAGAGTGCTGTCATGGAAGCCAAGTGAAGAAAGGGTCTCCGAGCAGGGGGGATCCCCAGCTGTGCCAGATGTGGGGGCAAGGGCAGGTAGAGTGAAGACCTTAGCAATGTGATGTCACTGGTGACCTTGGAAAGAGCAGCGGGAGTGGGTTCAAGAAGAGAAATTGAGCACAGAAGTATTGGCACTTGTGAGTTTTCCTGTAAAAAGAAGGGAAGAAATGAGAAGTATTTGGAGGAATAAGTAGAATCAAGAGTTTTAAAGAAACTAGAAACAGTGGTATGTTTGCTGATGGAAAGATCCAGTAGAGAGGAAAACCTTAACAATGAATGAGAAGGAAGGAGAGCGACACTTTTATGAGAGACTTCAGTGCCCAGAACAGAAACGGTTCATCCATGGTTACAGGAGAGAAGGTAGGGATTTGGGCATAGATAGAAGTAGATGGGTAAATGTGGTGGAACTTGGCTAATGTTTTCTCTGAATGCTCTACTTTCTCAGTGGCGTAGGAAGTGAAGAGAACATGATTTGAGAGTGAGGATGGAGAAGGAGGCACTAGAGGCTTGAGAAGAGACCGTATGAATTGCCTGGGAGGGTGAGAAAGACTAGAGAATAAGGAAGTATAGTGAAGATGTTAAGATTAGCTAGGCAGCAAAATGAAGGTACAGAGTCAGACTAAGCAAGAAGGCTGTTGCAGTGGTCTGAATGAGATTCAATGAGCTTCTGAATCAGGTGCTGTGTTGGAGTTACTAGCATATAGGTAGTAGTTGAGGCTGCAGGTGTGGATGAAATTGCCCAAAGACAGCAGAGTGACAGTAGCAGTGGATAGAGGCCACAGGAAAACAAGACCAAAACCACAAAGGCACCTCTAGGGCAAGAGAAGGAGAAGCCAAGAGAAGAAGGGCACATAGGGGAGATTAGGTAGGGCTTATACGTGCCATCTCTGTTGGCTACCTAGGAGGTTGTCGTTTCGGTAAAGGAGTAGGGCAGACCTCCTTCCAGTGTTCGCTGAGGAATGACTAGAAATCAGGAGTATAGATAAAAGAAAATGAAGTGGAAGCAGCAGAGTCTAGAAGTCGAAGGGAGGAGAGCCTGAAAGGCCTAGAAAGCTATTCCTTGCAGAGACAACAGCTTCTGGAAAGGCCTAGAGACATGGAAGAGCACAGATAAGGAATTTGAAGCAGTCTGATGTGAAATTTAAAGGTGTATTGTTGTAATGTTTGATTCATATAATAATTTTTTTATTCCTTTGTCCTATAAAGTCGTGATCAACGTATAGTTCTCCCTAGGAGGGGGGAAGGAATGAAGTATGCCTCTGTTGTGTATGTCCCTTAGCAACTTTTAAAAAATACCGAGACGTTTTTACATGAAATAGATTTTGGGGAAAAAAAGATTTTGATACTGCTCAAGCTCTTGATATGGGAAGGTAGGCAGTATTCAATAATATTGAAGTAGTATTCTTTTCAATAATATTGTCATATGTTCCCATGCTTCTCTGCCAGTCGTAAAGGTTGGGATGAAATTGCTTCTTTTCCCTCATTTGCTTATTTCAGGATGTTAAGTCAGAATACAGCAGAAAATGTCCACTGAACGAACTTCTTGGACAAGTTTGTCCACTATTCAGAAAATAGCGCTGGGCCTCGGGATCCCAGCCAGTGCAACAGTTGCCTATATCCTATACCGCAGGTACAGGGAGAGCAGAGGTATGTGGACCCCCGGCTGTAAATATGGAAATGTTCAGGCTGTGCTCTGGCCTTGTTAAATTGAAATGAAAATTTTCCTTGTTGGACTGGGTATGTCTAGTGGGATGTAATTGGCTTTCTGTGAGGGGGTCTTTGAAACTGTTTGGTTTCTTCTTTTCTATGTTCTTAATGTGAAGCTAGTCTGTGGAATGAAGAACTCCTAATTCTATTCTCTGTTCCCTTCAGCAACAGCAGCACTGCAATGGGTTCTTTTTCTTTTTTAGTATCTATAGATAGTAAAGAGTATAATCTCTTTTTTTACAATAGTTTTTTTTTTAATGTTTATTTTTGAGAGAGAGAGCATGTGCCCCCAAGCGGGGGAGGAGCAGAGAGCGAGAGACAGAATCTGAAGCAGGCTCCAGGCTCTGAGCTGTCAGCTCAGAGCCCAACATGGGGCTTGAACCCACGAACCGTAAGATCATGACCTGAGTCGAAGTCAGACATTTAACCAACTGAGCCTCCCAGGCGCCCCATATACTCTTATCTTTTTTATATGCTTTTTGCATTTAGTTGTTAGAAAGCTAACCATGGGGTCCAGCTTCCACACAGGCTGAACCTAGAGAAAGGATTTAGGTACAAGCAGAAGTTCTGAGCCCAGTGTATTCATTGGGCAATTTAGCCTTTGTTCTTCTCCAGGAGTCCTATCTTGGGAGACACAGCTTACCCAAAATCCAGCACCCCTTTCTTGCAGAGCCAAATGCTTTTCCCATTTTAGCATCTGAAACAGTATCCCAGAGACAATGCCTATCTTCTGGGACCCTCTAATTCCTACTCAGGTGCTACTTTTCTTTGTCATTATGGTTGAGATCCTTAGTCTGTCTTGTGGATCAGTCTCTTTGACACCTAGTTTCAGGGGAGGGCTGGGGTACTTGGATGCTATCTGAGTCTGATCTGATGAGCCATGATCTATGCAGAAGAACGGTTGACATTTGTTGGGGAGGACGACATCGAAATAGAGATGCGAGTTCCCCAGGAGGCCGTAAAGCTCATCATTGGCCGGCAAGGAGCCAATATTAAACAGGTAAGTGTGTAAGCAAGCAATTGGCTTTCCCAGGGATTGATTCTGCTTAATAACTTCTTCCCTCCTCTGCCCCCATCCCACAAAAGCCACCTGCACTATGTAGGTCTTTAAAAGAAAAAAATAAAGGAACATTTAGCTAACCATGCTCTTTTCCTTCTAAAGAAGAGTACTTCTCCCCAGAGCATGCATGACTTAGCTTGAAATGGGGATTTTTTTTTAAATGTTTATTTTAGAGAGGCAGAGAGAGTGAGCATGCACGCGTGAGCAGGGGAGCAGCAGAGAGGGGAACAGCAGATCCTAAGTGGGCTCTGCGCTGACAGCAGAGAGCCTGCTGTGGGGCTCGAACTCACAAAATGGGAGAGCATGATCTGAGCCGAAGTCAAGGCACTTAACTGAGCTACCCAGGTGCTCTTGAATTTTTTTTTTTTTAATGTTTATTTATTTTTGAGAGAGAGTGCGAGCAGGAGAGGGGCAGAGAGAGAGAGAGAGACACAGAATCTGAAGCAGGCTCCAGGTTCCGAGCTGTCAGCACAGAGCCTGACCATGAGATCATGACCTAAGCTGAAATCGGACATTCAACTGACTGAGCAACCCAGATGCCCTGAAATGGGAATTTTTGATTGTGTGATTCTAAACTTGGTGCAGTCTGAACCATTCTTTTCTACTGTGGAATTAATTAGCTCTCATTAATTGATAGTAAATATTGAATTGGCCTAATTTTTCTTATTATCTATTCAGTTTGTTAAGAAAACAAAATATTGGATTCTCTGATCCAAATAAAATGAGAGGGAAAGAGGGTTCTAAATACAAAGAGAGTGGCGCCTGGTTGGTTAGTTAGTTAGTTAGAAGCTTAGTTGGTTAAGCTTCTGACTTTGGCTCAGGTCATGATCTTGCAGTTTGGTGAGTTCAAGCCCTGCATTGGACTCTTTGCTTGACAGCTCAGAGCCTGGAGCCTGCTTCAGATTCTGTGTCTCCCTCTCTCTCTGCTCCTCTCCCATTTGCACTCGTGCACGCTCTCTCAAAAATAAATAAGCATCTAAAAATTTTTTAAAAAATATAAAGAGAAACTGTTTTGAATGAACTATTATTTGGGGTTACCTTTGTCACTAATCGCCTTTCATCAGTACAGATAGTTGAGGACAGCTTATAGCATCTTGATTTAACTGATAACTGTCCAGTTCCATCTACTTCCAGGGTTAAGTTGAAAGTATACCTAGCTGACCCAAATGGGAGCTATTCCAGAGCGGACTGCCACGTATCCTTTTCTCTGCAGCTGCGGAAACAGACAGGTGCTCGGATTGATGTGGACACAGAGGATGTAGGCGATGAACGGGTGCTGCTTATCAGTGGGTTTCCTGTGCAGGTGTGCAAGGCCAAAGCAGCCATCCATCAGATCCTGACAGAGAATACCCCTGTGTCTGAGCAGCTTTCTGTTCCGCAGAGATCCGTGGGCAGGATCATAGGTACCACTGGACAGCTTCTTCTGCTGGTTCCTTTTTCTTTCACCTTTGCCTTCCTTTCATACCTTCCCAAGGGTTTTTCCTGGCCTTCTTCCCCATCACCTTCCTGAGGGAGCGTGGGGAGACAGGAACATTGAGACCAGAGCTGCACATTTTTACAGAAGCAGTGGTAAACCCAAACCCCATTACCCCAAGAAGCTATATGGTCTGAACTTTACAAATAGGCTCCAGAAAGGTTCAGGTAAATGTATTTACCTCACAATAGATTTTTAAAGGAGAGCTAAGCCTGCTCATATTTATCCCAGATCTTTCAAGACCATGCTCTTCCAGAGAGCACCTGCTATGCCTTCCGCTAGAGCAGTCCTTATGCTTCTCCTAGAGGCAGAGAATTGTCCATTCTTGCCTCAGTGCCTCTCACACTGTGTAGGATATCTTCTAATAAAGTACAGATATAAAGTGTGCTGAGTGGCCAAAAAATGGGTATGACGTGAAGTACACTAAATGTTTAGAGTTTAAGTAAAGCAGAAAGAGAAGATTGTCCCTGTTCCCCTTCATATAGTAAGGATTGCAATAGTTCCTGCTTTCTAGTCAGTATCTTACATTCTGTTCACTTTGAAAATAAGAACAGACTCTCCTCTCCTAGTATATACAAAATAGTGATTTTTCTAGTGGTTAAAGCTGGCCAAGAGGGAAGGACAGGTTTTTATGTGTTTTTCAATGCAGGGAGGGGTGGCGAGACAATTCGTTCTATCTGTAAAGCCTCTGGAGCCAAAATTACCTGTGACAAAGAATCAGAGGGGACGCTACTACTATCAAGGCTTATAAAAATCTCAGGAACACAGAAGGAAGTGGCAGCAGCCAAGGCAAGTAGTTAATAGACTTGAATTGTGTCTAAGAATGAGAAGAATCCTTTACTCCACCCTGGGTCAAAATATGTGGCCAAATCGATCTCCTCTCTTATTTTCCACAGCATTTGATACTAGAGAAAGTTTCAGAAGATGAAGAACTTCGGAAGAGAATTGCTCATTCTGCAGAAACCAGAGTCCCACGCAAGCAGCCAATCAGTGTAAGAAGAGAGGAAGCGATAGAGTCTGGTGGAGCTGGAGAGCCAGCTTTGTGGAAGAGCACTGATACTGGTGCCGGGCTGGAGCCGGCTACACCACTGAGAGTTCCTCCCCGAAAAGGAAGCGGTGACATGGCTGTTGAAGGGCCAGAAGGTGCTTGGGAGAAACCTAATGGGGACAGCTTTCAGAAATCTGGAGCCCAGACCAGTCCAGAGATGTCCATGTTTGAAAGTATGTAACAAATGGGAACCCATTTACCATATGAAAGGTAGAAATACTGGCTTAGACAACCCAAAAAAGGAAGCAGTAAAAATTATTTCTGTTTTCTTGACTGCACTTATGAGCCTCTTCACAGAAGTCATTTTGTGTGGTGATATTTTACTTGGGTTACTACTAACCATGAATAATTTTCAGAACACAAACCAGACTAGTGATGGAGAATGATAATATACTAGTGAAATATACTAGTTCACAGGAAACTAGTCTGAGTAATATATCAAGTAATTGAATTTACATGGTATTCATTTCTAAACAGATTTATTAAACAAGTAAAATACTCAGCCTGATTTTTTTTTTGGCTTATCTCATTACTGCTTTTAAAAATCATCACCGGGGCGCCTGGGTGGCGCAGTCGGTTAAGCATCCGCCCAGCTATGGGCTGAACATCTCGCTGGGTCCTGGTGAGTTCGAGACCCCTGGCCACGTACTCTGGGCTGATGGCCCTGGCTGGAGCCTGTTTCCGATTCTGTGTCTCCCTCTCTCTGCCCCCCCCCCGTTCATGCTCTGTCTCTCTCTGTCCCAAAATAAAAACGTTGAAAAAAAAAAAAATCATCACCATTCAAGGAGGATGAAAAGATTGTGAGCATTCTCTTCTGTGCATAGGTTTGGGGATGGACGGGGAAGACCAGGCCCCCTAAGAGGTTCATAGACTTGTTTGGGGGTCACACAATGAGTCAGTGATAGAGTAGGATCTGGAACAGGCCCACATCTTTCCTTTGGTCCATGTTGCAGTTATAATTGATGTCTGATTTGAATACATGGCAGATGACTAGAAGTGTAAACTTATTACTCAGTTACATAGAACGGTACACAGCTCAGCTTAGCACCTTTCTTCAGGATGTTCTTATATGAATCATTCAGTTGTCCCTCCAGCCATTTTTTAAATGGTGATAGCCACTTGGTTATTTTTGTAACTCTCGGTTCTGATGCAGTCTGCCTTTTTTTTTTTTTTTTTTTTTTTTTTTTATACTTTGCGTGTGCAGGGCAGAGAGGGAGCAGGAGAGAGAATCTGGGCATTAGGCCTGCGCTGTGTGGAGCTTGGGGCTCAATCCCACAACCCTGGGATCATGACCTGAGCTGAAATGAAGAATGGGATACTCAACCCACTGAGCCACCCAGGCACCTCCAGTCTCCCCATTTCAACCATAGTTTTAATATGGTCACCAGGTTAGATGGTGAGGATTCTGTAGCTTAACTTGCTTATCCCTGTATTTAGTCCCTAGTCCTGACTTCAGTTTCCATGCTGATGAGTTCCTGGAAGTCTACGTGTCTGCCTCTGAACACCCTAACCACTTCTGGATCCAGATCATTGGCTCCCGCAGTCTGCAGCTGGATAAGCTTGTCAGTGAGATGACCCAGCACTATGAGAACAGTCTAGTGAGTTACTGTAGGAACAGGGTTGGGTTTGATGAAAAGGGGGCCTTTTTTATTGTGATATGTTCTCTTTTTTTCCTAGGGAATAACTACTTGTTCTTTCTCCTCCTCGTATTTACTGCTTAACTGTTTTTTAGCCTGCCCATCCTAACTCTCCCAATCCTGATCCCCCTCCTCATGTGCAGCCTGAAGACTTGACTGTGCATGTGGGAGACATTGTAGCAGCACCTCTACCTACAAATGGCTCCTGGTACCGAGCTCGGGTCCTTGGCACTTTGGAGAATGGGAACCTGGACCTGTACTTCGTTGACTTTGGAGATAATGGCGATTGCCCACTGAAGGACCTCCGGGCACTCAGGTTAGTGTGGAGGCCGGGGTGGAGTCCCAGCTGTTAACTCAGCCCTGGCCATCGCAAGTGGTGTGCTCTTGGCACTCATCACTGGGGGGTTGGGAAGAGAGCCTGCTGACAGAGAGCAGATGATTATCTTCTCCCTTGGGTTCATTGGTGATGTCTAGAAACACAGACTGTAAGAGGCCCTTCTGGCACTGGGATTCTAATTTGTTTCTTTCCTTTAGGAGTGACTTCCTAAGTCTTCCATTTCAAGCAATAGAATGTAGTCTGGCACGGATCGCCCCCTCAGGTAAATTGGTCACAATACCTATTGACCTTGCCTCCAAATAAAATAACTTCCTTCTAGAACTTGGCAGGATTTCTCACATTCCCAGGCTTTTTGAGTTCTGGGCACTCAGTTGTCTTTTCCCTCCCAACAGTAGAAAGCAGTAACCAGGAACACGCCTGGCAGGCAGACATAGGTGTCTTTTGGAGTAGAAATAGGTGGGTATAATCTCATCCCATCAGTAGGGACCCCTTCTTAGGTTCTCCCTGCAATCTTTTGCCAGGTGAACAGTGGGAAGAGGAAGCTTTGGATGAGTTTGACAGACTCACTCACTGTGCTGACTGGAAGCCCCTGGTGGCTAAGATCTCCAGCTATGTCCAGACTGGGATCTCAACTTGGCCCAAGATTTACTTATATGATACTAGCAATGGGAAGGTATGACTGGGGTCTACTCATTGCTCACCGTCTCGTCAGTATATTTATATCCTCATTCACTTTTTCTTTCCCAGAAGCCCTTATCTGATATTTGCTATTATTCCTGCCTCCTAAGATCCTGCTTACTGAAGGAATGTCTTTAATTTTTTTTTTTAATGTTTGTTTATTTTTGAGAGACAGTGTGAGCGGGGGAGGGGCAGAGAGAGAGAGAGAAAGACACAGAATCTGAAGAGGCTCCAGGCTCTGAGCTGTCAGCACAGAGCCCGACATGGGGTTTGAACTCCCAAGCTACAAGATCATGACCTGAGCTGAAGTCGGACGCTCAACTGACTGAGCCACCCAGGCACCCCTGAAGGAATGTCTTTAAAGTATCACTCCTAACCCTGCTGTCCTGGTTCCTCAGATATGCCCCTCTCTACAGAGAACATCATTCCCTTTGCATTTTTCTTCTCAGAAACTTGATATTGGGTTAGAATTAGTTCGTAAAGGATATGCAGTTGAACTTCCTGAAGACATGGAAGAAAACAGAGCCATCCCAGACATGTTGCACGATGTGGTGAGTACATGTAATGTGCTGCCCCGGGGCGAGTCTGCCCCAGGAGACGGGAGGGCTTCTGGTCACACGTGACGTGCTATGGAGGGCTTTCCTAAGGGGGCATCCTTGTTCCTCTCAGCTATCTGACTCCACTGCCTTAACCAGAGCCTGAGGACAAAATGAGAGGGCGGCCTCTCCTTTCCCACCAGCCACTACAGTCTTCTTCTCTTGTCTTCATCCCTGCAGGCCACAGAAACAGAGGTCTCTCTCGGCAGCATGCTCGCTGAGACCAGGAAGAGCCCTGGAGAAATAGCAAATACCCTGTCCTGCCTCAGCTTATCAGGTACAAACTGCATTTCCTCCCCAGAGCATCTTTGGGAATTACTGGTTTTCAGTGGGTCTCTCCAAACTAGGGACAATGTTAAGACTTAGCTCTTAAAAAGCGGCCACGGGGCACCAAGAAGTCCGTATTCCCTGAGTCTCAGTGGCCATGCCTAACTTCCTCCCCTTTCTGCTAAGCAGAAGCTGCCTCTGTGTCTGGTGATGATAATCTTGAAGAGGACTACTTACTGTGAAGTCAGCTGATGCCGTCTGCTGTGCCGTGTGAGTGCACCTCTCCTCTGTCTAGCAACAGGAAAGTAACCAGGGGGATAGCTGGGGCTTGCTCTGTCCTCCCTTCCCTAGCCCATCTTAGCATGACTACAGCTGCTTTCCTGCAGTTTCACTCGTTCTCAGGTTGAGCCTATTCAGACTTTTGTGTCTATGTGTTTGTGTCTTGGCAGGATTTGGTGCCTGGAGAGAGGAGCCTATGATAAAGGGATCTATGCAGTCCTTCCTCCATTACCTACATGATCTGGCTTGCTGTGGACCAAATGCATGCTCTCCTTCTGTTGGACTACCACAAAGAGTGTGGGGTGAAGAAGAGGACAAGTACATGTCCCTTCTCCACCTGCCCGACCCCATCTTCTTCGAGTTTGCTTCCAGGCTGCTCAGCCTCTGGTCCGCTGCTCTCTGCCAGGCGATTATTGTATGCTTCTGCAAGGCTGTGTCCTTTTTGAGGCTGGAAAGCAGCCAGGTTTTGGTCAGTGGAAGTGATGATTCTGCAGACTTCTGACTCACCTCCTCAGGTGACTCTGTTAATTAAAGGAGGTTTTTGAGTGATTAGCTCAAAGACCGCAGTTGAGTTGGGAGGCACAGGCACAAATCAGCATGATTGTATTAAAAAGCCTCAGGAAATGGGAAAGAACACTGCCTCCCAGCCTCAACTGCTGAAATGTTATTGGAGGTAGGTTTTTTGAAACAGTGCTCCAGCTATTTCCCTGTTAACTTTGGTTAAAATACAAGTTAGACAAAGAGAGGGCATTTCAGGAAATACTCTAAAGTGCTAGTGTAGTATCTATATGTATACACACACACACCTCCATGAAGTGAAAGAGAACTTCCATAGCCGTTTAAATCATTTGGGGGATTCTTTGATGAATAAAGTTCTCAAGAAAGATCTAAAACTAAATGTTGGTTGAATCAAGGTAGAAGCAGGACTATGGGTCCTGGAATTTGTCGCACACCTTACGTGGAGGGCCCGTCTTTGAAGCGAGTGTCCGTCCCATGCACAGATCCTATCCTTTCCCTAAAGGTATTTCAGAATTAAACATTCACTAAGAACCAAACCAGTTTAGGTTTGGGCTTTGTGAATAAGGACCCCACCCAAACTAGGTATTTGGAAGAGGCCTGGGTTCTGGTAGGTCTCCACCATGACCTTACTGTAAGCCTTCCGGGAGGCCATGTCTTCACGCACCCCTGCATCGTGGCCAGTAGCATTCAGCCAGTGAGAGCTGTGAAAGGGACTTGGCAGCAAGTGTAAGTGTGTAGTACTGCGAGTGGTGGGGTAATGGCCGATGAACAGGGAGGGCTTTTTAAGGATCTGTAAGATGAACTACAAAACTTAAAACTAGCACATGAGGATGCTTTATGCAGGGTTTTGTTTTTTTAATCTAGTAATTAGGCCTACCCATATACCGCATGGGTTTTACCATAGCCAAAATTTTCAAAATTTATTTTCTCAGAAAACTCTCAGTACCATGTGTTAGAGAAAGGCTCTAGTGAAGGAGCATCTCTGATGAGTTTGTGGGATCTTGGAAGAATCCTTGGATGGCTGCCATTGATTTGACAAGGTTTCGGACCTTGGCTGCAGTGAACTACCGCGGTCCCCCCCTCCCCCCCGAAGCAGGCTCAGCCCTGGGGTTGGCAACTGCTCCACAACAGGGTCATGAGGCCCACTAGTCAGTCACCAGGCTCCTCGGCCCCTTGGCCTTCACTCTTAAAGGAGGCCCTGATGTAATTCATTGGTAGGACTTCTTGCTGAGGAAAACAAGCAGTGCCTCATTCTTAGCCGTGGCTTCTTCCCGTGAGTACAAGTCTGTTCCATTTATGTGGCCTTTATGTCTCATCAGTTCATGTCCCAGTTGGATGGGCTCCAACACACCCTGTCCTTGTCTGGAACACCCTCTTCTATTCCATATTTCTTATTTTGTCTTTTGAAATCCTCCCCTTGAGCCAAAGCTGTGGGGTCCAGCTACCTTCTTGGATTTTCTCCACATCCAAAGAGAAGGAATTCATACTTGTCTCTAATCCAATCTGAAATATGTGAAGGAAAAACTCCCAACAAGGCTTGTCTTTCTGAATTCCCTAGTCCCTGGCTTTTGCTCTTGGCAAGTACACAGTTACTGGTTAGAGTAAGTAAATGGATTTTGGAGTAGAGGGGAAAGCAAAGGAACCTAAAATCCTTGGCTCTCTTCCCTCTCTGACTTTTCCATCATTAAACGTTTATTCTATAGTGAATTCAGTTCTGTAAGGCTAATGTTCCACTACGGCCAACCCTGCCTTCCCCCACACCCCCAAAAAATAGTGAACACTTGAGGATTGCACTACCCTTTATTTCTAGGATGAAAGGTGTCCTGAATCACATCCTGGTTCCCACTGGTCAAGGCTCCCAGCCCCTCAACAGGAATAGGCATGTTCAGGGAGGCTCACTGGGCAGGTGGCCAAGTTCCCTTTCAAGGGGATACACCATAAAGATGACATTGTCCCAGGGAGGGAGGACAGGGTGATCTGGTCTGACCACCTCAAAGCCCATGTAGCTGAAGGCCCGTAGCAGGGCACCTGTGAAAAAAAAATTAGAACATTTTTTGAGGCTCTATACAACTTTCCCTGGATTTGGCTTCTTTAGGGAGTGGCTGACGGGAAGCCATGTAGTGCAAGCATTAGGGTGATCTGCTTTGGACTAACAAACCTAACTCCACCCCTGGCTCTAAGGCTTGCTAAGCTCTGTGACACTGTACAAGTTACCCTTTCGGAGCTTTAGTTTTCCCTTTATAAGATGGTGATCTTCCTCAGAATTTGATTAAATAAGATGATCATGAAATGCCTAACAATGATGGTGTACTAAGCTCTTGACCATCTTCTGTCCCACAGAAGCGGGGGAGGAGGAGGGAGGAGGTCGTAGTTTCTGGAACGTGTGCTCCAAGCATCCGGATAAACCCATTCCTATCTTCCTGGCCCTATACCCAACACTTTCACACTGTAGGTGCTTAATACATTTGAGGTCCTTTCTGTCCTACCAGCTACATGCCTTGAATAGTTCTGTTAATGTCACCAGTGCTTCCTTGGTCTGGCTTCTGAAATCTACCTTCGAGGCTTTCCTCATAATCCAAGTGTAATCTGAGAACAGAGTGCTAGTTGCCTTCATTTCCTTGGAACGGGGGTGGGGATGATGGTGGTTAAATCCCTGAAATGTGTATGAGTGTGATCTTTTTTAAAAAGTCGGGGAAGAGGGTCTCCTACAAAGGAAAAGTTGCTGTCAACTACTTCAGCACCAGGGGCCAGGAAGGACTGCCAATCCCTACCTCTGTCATTCCGGTTATTTTGGAAGCTTACAAACACCAAGTCCACGTTGGTCTTCTCCTCCACATACTCCAGTGTTGCAGTCAAACTAGGGGCCAGAAAGAGGAATCCTAGTTGATGAAATATTTAGTGAATTCAAAATCCAAACACCTACTTGAGTAGAAGAAACCTCATGGCTCAATTTTTTCCTGACCCAAGCCAGGAAATGAAATTTGATAAGCTGGTGTTGGTAAATGTTTCTCCGAAGCCCAGGGATTACAACAGGACTGACCTCCATATCCTAGAGGGGCCTGGGGAGAAGGAGCCACTCTAGAAAGACAGTCTGAAGACACATCCTGTTGTTGATCTTCACTTCTGTGTTTCTGAATCAGGGTCCATCAATCTCCCTGGGGGCTCTTCTCCCTTGAAGCCCAGATCCTGGCTCAGCTCACAGGCTTGCCTGCATGCCAGTTCGGTGGTGTGAAAGTATCTAGCTCCTGAATCCACCCTCATGGGTTAGCACGCTCACCACCTGATTATGACATGATGAAAGAAGGGACCCTCCTGCCTCTTCCCCGCTCACCCACCCCACTTTCCTATCAGGGCTCAGTCACCTTTCCCAGTTGCCTTGATCCAAGGCCTGATATGGGATATCCAGGAAGAGTCGATGATCACAGAGAAGGCCGTGCCAATGGGTAGAGGTTTGGGGGGTGCAGCGGAAGTGGAAGTCTAACTGTACTGGATCCTGGTGAAGCAGGGGGTCAGTAGCCAGCACCGTCAGGTTCCCAGCCTGGAAAGGGAACAAAAGAGTAACACAGTCTCCTGTTCTCATCTAGTCCTCAAGTCAGATCTCAGGCCAATTTGGCTGTGCCTGAGGAAGCAAATTTGGGGCTGACCGAATTGGAGCCAAATCCTCACTCTGTCCCTTAGTCCTAGGACCTAATTCTCTATTGTGGAGTTTTCCTTGATACCAATCTGGAAAGCAGTCAATGCAGTTGCAGTATCACTGCCTGCTAACCTCACCCGAGGGGTGCACCAACACTTCAGAAACATATTTACATCACAGAGCTTTGTTTTTGTTTTTGTTTTGTTTTTAAGATTTTTAATCACACCCAACATGGGGCTCGAACTCACAATCCCGAGATCAAGAGTCGCATGTTCCACCAACTGAGCCAGCCAGGCACCCCTAGGGAGCTTATTCTTTAAACAATGCCATGTCATCTGTTTACGGACTCACCATGCTCTTCCACTTTTTTTACATCATGGGGGTTTTCTCTGAATTCTCGGATTTCTCAGTTAAAATGCAGAGGTCACCCACAGGCATGTTATTGTAGTATGGTACAGGGCCAAGTCGAGGAGTTCTAGGTTCTAGTCCCCTCTCGGCATCTAAACAAGTTTCCGTCCCAGAACTCTTAATTCGTTCTGCTCTTTGTTCCAACCTCCTCTTTCCCCATCCTGCTTCTCACCACCAGCTCTGTGATCTTGACTTAATATCTCTGGGCCAGAATCCTTGTTTCCAAAGCAAGTAGCTGTTCTGCGTGAGCCTCGAGATCTAAAATTTGTTCTCCAGTTAGCTAATTATGCCCCTTCTCCCTAAGGTGTCATTACAGCAAGCCAGGGGCCGCCCCCGGACAGCATCAGTGTGCAGTCCACTTACCGAGTATAATTCTTTAAGCTGGTCGTGGTCACCCTGCTCGGTGCTTCTGACCCCCTGGAGGCCTGCTGGGGACTCAGGAGCACTGAAGGCAGTAACGGGGCCGGAGTGTCAAGTCCTCCCGTTCCTTATATATGATGCTGGTTAGGAAAAGGGGGCCCAAATTAATTTACCTCTGCATCTGAGAAGGGGAGGGGTTCATAACTTCCAGGTACATAGGACCAGGCTCTGGCACTATCTTTTGTGGATGAGCCTATCTGCTTCCATTCTCCCAGGCCAGCCAGGTGGGAAAATTTTAAGTTCCATGCCAGCCTTCCATCCTATTTTGCTATTATTATCTCTTGCCACTTGGGAAGTTCCTTCAAATTCTCTTATTTTTCCTGACAGTTTATGTAAACAACTACAAGTAGAGAGGAAAACAAGTACCTTTTATAACAAGGCAGCATCTTCTCCCGGAGGGTGATCCGGTATTTGTAACAGTAAAGGTAATAGGCGTATGGTGACCAGATCGGGTAGAGGTAGTTCCGTGTTTTTCCCCTCTTGATATAAGAAAGGGAGAAGATAGAAGGGCGCAACCTGTTACAAGGCAGTTTCTCAGTTCAGTGCCTCCCTGCGGCAAAGTGAGGTTCAGAGATGAGTGGCAGGGGTTCAGGCAGCCTGGTGTCATTGTGACCCGGTGGGCACTATGACATGGGCAAAGGGTCAGCCCTATGTCACTTCAAGACTCCACTCTGCTGCTCCTCCACCCCACCCAACCCCCTTAACTAAGCCTCCTACTCACCTAGTATGTACTTCATGGCTGTACCAGTGATTTTTTTTTTTTTTAATTGTACCAGTACTTTAGCTTCTGTACTGATTGAATAGCCCTGCCTGAACACTTGTTGAGTGCCCTCAACCTGGCCCCTTATTGCAGCGGCACGCGTGCATGTGCGCACACTCATGTAACACACACCACACACATCCCACTTCAGCAACTAAATGGTGTCTGACACTGTAGGTTTCCAAAGCCCTGATCCAGTGCCTGACTTGATTCATTGGTTCTCAGTTCCTATCAATTCAATATTTTTATTGTCATCCCTACCTTTAATAATCCAGGGGTGCTACACATTGTTGAACTTTCTCATTGCCCTGGAGGGTAGAAACTGCAAACTATAAATGCCTTTAGGAGCCAAGACAGCTAATGGAAATTAATGGAGCTGCTGGGTGGGGCTGTAGCAAAATGGAAAGCTCATATACTGTCTAAAATAAGCTGACAACTCAGTTTCATCCAGTTGCAGAAATGCAGACTCAGTGCTTCCAGATGATATGATTTTTCAACATAAAATGGAAAGATAGATTTTTGTGCTAAATTCCTCCAAATTTTTAAAAGGAGTGGTTATTAAAAAATAAAAGCTGTTGATTAAAAAAATCAACATTGTGAGCAAAATTTGATTCTGGGGCCACCAGTTTGAGACCTTTGCATATTCATTCACTCGTTTCATTCAACAAATATTTATTGAAGGCCTACTGAAAGCCAGGCAGAATTCTAGGTGCCGAGATCCACCAATAAACGAAGATCCCTGCCTAATGGAACTTAGCTTCTAACAGTGAGAAGACAAAACAGTAAACATTGTAAGAAAACTTAGGATGTTCAATGAGAACTGCTATGGAGAAAAGAGCAGGATAAAGGAAGGTCAGGAGGTGAAGGGGGTGGGGCAGGCTGGGGAAACAAATACAGTGATCCAAGTAGGCCTCATTGAAAAGATGGCATTTAATCGAAGACTTAAAGGAAGTGAGGGAGTCAGCCAAGCCAGCATCTGGGGATAAGAGGATTCCGTGCCTACGCAACAGTGGATGTAAAAGCCCTGAAGAGAGTGCCCGGTGTTTTCAAGAAACAGCAGGGAGGCTGCGGTGTAAATTCTGAGGAAAGCAGGAGGTGAGGTCAGAGAGCTAATGGGCCAGATTTGGGAAAGCCTTGTAGACTACAGTGTGAGGGAAGTCACTGTGAAGTTTTGAGTAGAGGAGTGATATATCTATGTTTTTTAAAAGATCCTGACTGTTGTGTTGTAAATAAACTGGGGAGCATTAAAGGAGATTTGCCAAGAGACTAACTACTACAGTGATCCAGGAGAAAGATGGTGTCTTATTCCAGGCTGAAGCACTGAAGGTGGTGGGAAGTGGTTGGATTCTGGAAATCGTTTAAAGATAGAACCCACAGGATTTCCTGGAGCATGAGAGAAAGAAGTTGAGTCCAAGAACTGAAAGAAGTTTCCATCAGCTGAGATGGGTAAGGTTGCAAGGTGAGACAGTTTGAAGCAGGCTCTAGAGACGGGTTTAGTTTGGAGCATATTAACTTTGAAGTGTCCACTAGACACACAAGAAGAGGAGTAAGCAGCAGGCTATTCGAGTTGGGCGAAGTTAGGAGAAGTCTAGGATGGAGAACTTTGGAAGTCATCAAGACTGAAGGAGATCAAAGCGGGGGTGTATACTGTGAAGAGTAAAGATCCAAAGACTGTCCTAGGCGGCACCCTAAGAAGTTCGGAGAAAAGGAGAAACCAGGCAAGGAGACTGTGAAAACTGGTGAAGTAGGAAGAAAACAAAAACAAAACTGGTGTCCTGGAAGCTAAGCGAGGAAAGCGCAATTAGGAGGAGGGACAACGTTTACCGGTCAAACAAGTAAAACAACACGATGCTGAGAGCGCCCTTACACAATCTCCGCTGCCAAAACAGACCCTGCTCATCCCATCTAGATGGTCTTCTCTCGAGGGCTTGAGACTCTCGAACGGTCCAGACTCTACCACAGTTTCCTTTTTCTGTGGCTCATCTCCCTTGTGATTTTGAATTCTGCTTTAAACACGAGCTTAAATACCGCAGGTGTAAAGATTAAGGGTTAGCCTCCTCCCGGGGCTGCCACAGTTTTCCAGAGGATCCCATCCCTCCCCCACTTTTAGGCAGATCTGCAGTAAGCAAAAGGGAAAGCAGCGTCCCTCTTCCCTCAGCATCCGGTTATCCCAGAATGCCAGAGCTGGAACCCTCAGAGCTGCTGCAGCTAAACCGAAGCCCCCATTTTAAAGCGAAGCCAAGAGGGACACGGTGCCTTTTCCAGCTCCCTCCATGATCTGCCAATAACTACGGGCGTCCCTGCCCCGAGAAGAAACAGTGAAGAGGGGATGAGGCAGCGCTGAAGCACGGAGCGTCGACCCAGACCCTGGCTGGGAGGCCGGTCAGACCCGGGCCGGGCCTGCCCCTCGGCTTCGCCGGCGGGAGCAGCGGCGGCTCAGGCGCGCCGCGGGCAGCCGCTGGGGCCTTTCCTGCGCCGGCGCCGGGGGCCTCCTCCGCTCTCCCTCGGCGCCGGGAACATGGCGGCGGCTGGGGCGTGGGTGCTGCTGCGAGGAGCCGTCCGGGAGCTGCTGCGGCTGCCGCTCGCGGGGGTCGCCCCCGGCCCGGAGCGCGCCTTCAGCCTCTCTCACAGTCGGGTGAGGCCCAGCTCTGAGCCGTGGCGGTCTTCGCCTCCGGCGGGGCTCTTTACGCCCGAGTATTGCTTCCGAGGGGTTCCGGCCTGAGGGTGGCGGGTTCACATTGTGCCGGCGCCCGAGGGCGCCAGGAGTTTCCCCGGGAGACTCGCTCACCCCCGCTCCCCGACTGCCAGGGCACGGTCATCGTGGAGCGCTGGTGGAAGGTACCGTTGGCTGGAGACGGCCGGAAGCCGCGCCTGCACCGGCGACACCGCGTCTACAAGCTGGTAGAGGACACGAAACACGGGCCCAAAGGCAACCTGGAGCTCATCCTCACCCAGTCGGTGGTAGGTAAGGCCCGGCAAAAGTATCTCCTACCTCAGGCTGGCCCCGTTTGGCGTCAGCTCTTTCCTGCCCTCCCCGTTTAGCTATTTCTCGCCGTTTGTAGAAATGATCTGCTCTGTATTTGAGGAGAGGAAGCCATAAAAAGTACTGTGATTGTGCCATTGGCCTCCTGCATAGAAAAAGGAACGCGAATGGGGCAACTGTGTAGAGGGGAAAGGAGGCCCAACAGCATGTGCTACAATGACTGAAACCCTGTGATGGGACACCTCTCACTTTGTACAGGGAATGTGAAACTTCTAAATCAGGCCGTAAAAAAACTAATCAGAAGTCCCTTAAGTGTTGTTCTTAGTATTAATATTTTTTCTAGGAGGAATAAGTACTGTGAGAGAATAAGAGGTGTGTCTTTGATCATCGCCTCTTTAGGAGGTCATCTGATCCAGTGTCTGTTCTCCTTGGCAGGACTTGGAGTCCGGGGTGACCTGGTCTCAGTGAAGAAACCTTTGGGCCGGAATCGACTGTTGCCTCAAGGTCTGGCTGTATATGCATCCCCTGAAAACAAGAAACTCTTTGAAGAGGAGAAATTGGTGAGCAGAGGGACTTGGAAGAATAAAACCTTAAGATTTCTTTTAGCAACTTCCTTCCCTTTGATATTTAACTTAAAAACGAAATAGGGATTAGAAAAATAGGAATCCAGAAACCCAGCCTATGTCCAGCATAATAAGAGTTTGATATTTATCATGGACTCATTTTTCTTTTCATTTTTTTCACCTTTAACTTTCTTTTTCTAGCTGAGACAAGAAGGAAAATTAGAGAGGATCCAGACCAGGGCGGGTGAGATGGTGAGTAAAAACATGGAAAGTTCTTACTTATTTGTCACTTAAGGAGTTACCAGCCTCTTCCTGAGAGGCTCCTTGATTTCCTTGAAGTATCCTGATTGCAGACACACGTGTAGGAGAAAGGGGAAATGCTTGGCTGCCAAAACTGGTTTTGAGACCTCCTGGGAGATCCTGACTTGTTGGGTGAAGTGCCCTAGCTTATTGAGTAAAGCCCCAACCCAGGTAGTAGGGGACCCATGGAAAAGTGTGAGATGAGGGCTCTGCCTCCATAGATGTTTACAGACAAGTCACAAAAAACATGAGACACATGAGAAAGTGATCAGTAACTTCAAGGCAGTAGATTAGAAAAATGACATGGACCAAAAACGATTAGAGTGATGGAGAGGGCTTTTCTTCAGATGGGATTAGATTGGCCCCTGTGGGATTAGTAGGCTTTGGATAGGCCAGGAGGGTGGGAAAGGTATTCTTAAGGAAGAAAAAGTGTACGTAGATAATTAAGGCACGCTTTAACATAAAAGGTAGACCAGTCTAGCAAAAACAAGGACTCATACAGGATAATACTTATGGCTGTAAAGGGAGTTGGGGTGAGATTTGTAAAACATTTTGAATCCTCGGCTGATGAATTTATATTTCATTCTATAAGCAGAAAGGATAGAGGTGGGACTGAAGGGCCAGAAGTATTGGGTTAAAATGGTCTACTAAAGCCATTCTATCCTGGGGTGTATCAGTGGTCCCCATTGATAAGTCTAACTTTGACATGGCCTGTTTCTCCTTGCTTAGGAACAACCAGGCATAGGTGACATTCTCCTTCTTTGTACAGAATCAGCCTTGAGGCAGTAGAAATATTCGCTTTCCTATTCATCTTCTCACCTGTATGCTTGTGAGGCAGACATTGTGCCTCTTTCCTGAATTCAGGCCTTGTGCCTTTTGCTAACATGTTTCTTCTCCTTTGATTCCAACTCTAACCTAGCCCCTGTTTATATTTCCTATCAGACAGTGACGTTTCTCAAAAGCTGTCACCTGGAGGTGGGGATGAAAAACAACGTCAAATGGGAACTAAACCCTGAAATAGTTGCCCGCCATTTCTTCAAAAATGTGAGTGTTCCCAAGCACCACTGTCCCTCTGAGGGCAGAAGCTACCCCTGGGAAGGAGGCCCAGGATCGATCCCTTCGTTAGAAAAGGGTGTGATCGTCCAGCTGGAGTTAGGGAAAGTGTTCTTGGTTGCAGGGTTGAGGAAGGGAAATGACTAAAGAGTAAGGGTGGTCAAAATTTGAAGACTGATAGGAAAAGATGGTGGCATCATTTATTTCCTCTCTAGGAAAAACCTGGGAAATGTGACCCACTGTGGAGTTTCTACTCTTGTGTGGAGGAAGTGATTTTGGTCTCAAGCCCTGTTTCTCTTTGGTGGATCCTCCTCCCTTTCTGAGAAATTGGGACTGAGTTTCTCTGCCACTATCTGTGGAGGGTAAACATGGTAACAGCCAGGGTAAACTCAGTTTTATTCATTCCTGTACAGGAAATTCCAGAACCTTCTTTGAGATTGCCTAGAGTTACATCAACATAAACAGAGCTCCTTTTGGCTTTGACTTTTTTGCAGCTTGGTGTTGTGGTCGCCCCACATGCATTAAAGTTACCAGAAGAACCCATTACACAGTGGGGCAAGTACTGGTGTGAGGTGACGGTGAGTATTTCACGTCCTGTCTCCTTTTTTCTGGCTGGGTAAAAAGCTTGGTATTAGCTCTTATCTGCCCAACTAACCTCTGAGGATTCCTTTGGTTTTGTGTACAGGTAAATGGACTTGACACTGTGAGGGTACCTATGTCTGTGGTGAACTTTGAGAGGCCCAAGACCAAAAGATACAAGTACTGGTTAGCCCAACAAGCTGCCAAGGGAATGGCCCCCACCAGCTCCCAGACTTTCTGAATCTACTCTCCCTCAAAATCAGACGAGCAGAATCAGGGGCCCCTGGAGGGCACAGTCAGTTGAGCATCTGACTTTAGCTCAGGTCATGGTCTCTCGGTTGGTGAGTTCGAGCCCCACATTGAGCTCTGTGCTGTCGGTGCAGAGCCTGCTTTGGATCCTCTGTCCTCCTCTCTCCCTGCCCCTCCCCCACTCACACTGTCTCCCCAAAATGAATAAGCAAAAAAGAAGAGCCGAATCAGGAGCAGTGGAGCAACGATGGGCCATCACCCTGATCAACTCCCAGCTCTGACGAAATAGTGGAATTTTACAGAGCATATGGAGACAACAGCCGAAACTGCATATACACGTTGAATCCTCCGTATTTTCCACCTCTGTCTTGGACTGTTACCACATCTGGCCTTACTGGGGTAGTCCTGCTCAAGGAGTACCAGGCTGTAGATTTGATAAGCTGAATATTAACAGATGGAAACAGTCTGGATCTTATTTAGCCTGAAATTCACTGGAACAAATGGAAGAGCTAGTCACTGTCTCCGTCACTAGGCTCATTCTCATACAAATTGAACATTTGTATCTCAAGAGGAAATAAAGAGATTGTGTTTTTGTTTATTTTTTAGTTTATTACAGTCTTTACAGTTAATTTTATGCAGTTATGATTTAGTACTGCACCTTTATGTCTATTTACATTTCTCTCAAGCAAATGGCACCATGTATGGTCTTTACGTGTGTGCGTAAGTTTTGATAAATTTTACCTTTTTAATTTTTAGGTTTTTTTAATGTATAGTTGACAACACCGTGTTACATCCTCAGGTGTACAGCGTAGTGATTGGATAATTCTATACATTATGCTGTATAGCTACCGTTTCTTACCATGCAGTGCTATTACAAAACCATTGACTAGAGAGATTGTGTTCTTAGATGCTGTTTACTGGGCATGAGTAGACTGGGGGCAGAACTTCCAAGTAGGTTGTACTCTTGAGCTACTGGGGTTTGGTGCTAAAAAGGAAGGGAAAATAAAATTCATTTATAGGCTATATCCCGTGGGTGCTATGGGCAAATTACTTAACAAGCTGATATGTCTTAGGTCTTAAAAGTCATTTTTGTTAGGTATATTTATAAAGCTATAAATATGAATAAGCACAATGGATTCTACTTTTCTAAAGGGATCCAAATAAGGTCTAAGGGTAATTGTTGGAGAAAAATGAAGCTGCAATGAAAAAAGCTTAAAAAGGGAACTTATTTTGTTTCTGTAACCCTGAAATTTTGAAAAAGATGGCATCTTGGTTTCCAGAGCAAGGTTAAGATATAGGGCTAGTCATTGGGTAATTATGGAACAGGTATCTTGATAGGAGATAAGGGAAGTAGATAATTCTGCCTAAGTTCAAGGTCTACGAGTGGAAAAAAGATCCAACTGCTGACAAATGGATTGTGCTAGTCACTCCAATACAATGTGAGGTCACACAATTTATGACTCTTCGCTGTCTTTATCAGAAGCTCAGAGAGACTAGTTTCTAACCTAATGTTTGAGCTCACCTACGACTATGAGTCCGTTAAGCACTTTGATTCACATGAGGCCATCCCAACTGATAGAAGTCTATCATCAGTTGCACTGAAAACTAGCCAGACACACACTAGCCAGCAGACTCCATAACTCAAGGTGTGTGGAAACTTACGACTGGTGTTGTTTGAAATCTGCCATTTCAATGATCTTCATCCCTACTGTTACTGGTGAAAAGCTCATTTAACACATCTTTCCACACCACCATGTCCCCATCAGAACATCTCTGAAATTGCCTGAGCAACAACCACAACATTCCACACAGCTCGTCTCAAAAGTGTTTAAATATTTGTCATAGTGTAAGTTCCTGGCGAAACAGACTGAATTGGAAATCTGTGTGCAGGAAGTTTATGATGAAGGGATCTTAGACTGGGTTGACACCTGTGGGGGAGTCCAGGAAGCAGGATTCGGTAGAGGAGGAGGTTAAGCTGGTCTCAACAAAGACCTCCGTCAGTCCCTCTCACTCAAGCTAGGATGGCTGTGTGGAAATGTGTACTCTATTGAGGCAAGTGGCCACATACGTACCCCCACATTGGCTAAAAAGGGGCCATGTCCTTGGGTGAGGTGTCTGACTTCGGGAAAAGGCAGCTCCCAAGGGGACTCAGAAGAGCACCGTCCGCATTCTCAGCAGCTTGGGAAATGAGTGCTTCAGTCCTGAAGCGGGGAATCTGGGCAGCACACTAGGTCTTCACTATAGTCCACCTTTCGTGCTGTTCGGATCCATTGTTTCTTGAGTTCTAGAGTGATCCCTTCAGGATTTGATGGGCCTCTTTTCCTGGGAAAACTGGTTAACAGAGGAAGGTCTGGGAGAGGCCGTAGCCCCTGCTGCTGTAACTTACCCTGTCTGCACTGGTACTCGTCTCCCTTCTCTACTCCTCATCTAGATTCCTACCCACACCCCCTCAACTTGTACTTCTGGTCCAAATAGGTTACCTGATAAGGTACCTGGTCATTATGCCCTTGCAGGCCATGACTGCATCTGTCCATTATCAGAATTGATACATGTGTCAGAACAGTATTTCCAAGTGTGGAATATGCTGTCTGTAGACCCCAGTGAGGTTTGTCGGGCACTGTGTTCCCTTCTTGGGAGTGAGATGTGAGAAGTAAAATTTCTCCTTTACTTTGGAGGGAACATCCTGGCATGGTCCAGACCACTGGACCTCTAAAAACATTACTGGGTATTTGCAGTTTTATGTACCACTACTTGAAGGATGTTTATCCTATCAAGGCCTCTAGTGCACTTGCCATTTCTTGCTCATCCTGTACAATTACCATGATGTCATCAATGAAGTAACATGATGATCTGTGGAATGTCCATATGGTCCAGGACATATTATGACAGGGTGGGAGGTTTTACATGGTCCAGGTGCAAGACTATTCCTGCTCATCCCAGTAGTGAAAGTACTTTTTATGGTCCTTTCTTACAGAGATGGAAAAGAATATATTGCTCAGATTAATGGCCACCTATCATGTACCTGCGGCTGTGTTAATCTCTAGCAAAGACACCACATTTAGCATTTAGCACAGCAGATACAATTGAAATGACTTGATTGAGATCTTCCAAGAACTTTCTGATTTTACCAGGGACCAGACTAGTGAATTAAATAGTGTTTTAATGGGCCCACCATCCCTGCATCCTTTAGATCTGCAAGAGGGCCACTACTGTGGTAGTTTTTATTATCTTGGCCTGAGATGGTAGCAGCAACTTCAGGAGCTTCGTGCTGGCCTTTCTAACCCTATCACGGTTAGTGTAGTTCTGCCAACTATCAAATATATCCATCTCAGTTACCCATTAAGGACCAGTGAAATGACCGCTGGGTGGATCTACAAACCCAGTAGGACCACTGAGAGCTAGACCTGGGTCTGGAATACATTTGTCACCCCCGCATACCAGGGGGCCATGATGATGCTTCAGATCCATGGACATCAGTATCAGATAAGACCCTGTATACAACAGTTTCTCAAATGGTTGTGCCTCTTTCTCCAGCATGTATTAAGCAAATGGTCGTGAGTCCTTATAGGACCAGGGGAATTATTACTTTGAATGAAGTAATGTGATGATCTGTGGAATGTCCATATGGTCCAGGACATATTATGCTGGACCTGCAAGAGGGTCATGCTGTTCTAGGGGCCTAGCCTCTTACATCAGTTGTTTCCAGCTGAAAAACTGGTTCGGGAAGACTTCTACTTCCACCGACAGAAATCACCTTCCCATTATAAACAACTAAAAAACCAGACAAAATTATAAAAAATGTTTATGGATATTGAAAAGCAAGTAGTACAGAACTTCGTTAAATGAGAAAAGGGAAATAAATGAGATGAGCCCTATGATAGCCTCAGTTCACTGAGAGTTGTGCCCAACTTTTTTTTTTTTTTGACAAAGATACCAAAACAATTCAATGGAGGAAAGACAGCCTTTTCAACAAACGCTAGAGCAATAGGCACAAAATAAAACTTAACCTACATCTAACACCTTATACAAAAATTAACTCAGAATGGCCACGAACCTAGAAATAGTTTCCTGCACTGTGCTGTAGGGAGCATTGCAGAGGGGGGAATCTCAAAGCCAGAGATTAGAGCTGGTGGAGGAGGGTCATGAAGTCCCACCTCCCCTTCCCATGCCAAAGCAGTTCACAGAAAGTTAGTTAAAACAGAAGTTTAAATTTTGATTCAATCTCATAACACAAAAATATCTAGGTTCCAATAAAAAGTCATCATGGGTTGCCTGACTGGCTGTCAGAAGAGCACACGACTCTTGATCTTGGGGTGGTGAGTTCAAACCCCATGTTGAGTGTAGAGATTACTTAAAAAAATAAAGTTTTGAGGCACCTGGGTGGCTCAGTCAGTTGGGCATCCTACTTCGGCTCAGATCATATCACAGTTTGTGGGTTCGAGCCCCACATCAGGCTCTGTGCTGACAGCTCAGAGCCTGGATCCTGCTTTGGATTGTGTGTCTCCCTCTTTCTCTCTGCCCCTTCCCTGCTTGTGCGCTCTCTCTCTCTCTCAAATATAAATAAACATTAAAATAAATAAAGTCATTATATATGGGGAGGGGGTCTCTCATCATACCAAGAACCAAGAAGATCTCAAACTGAATGAAAAAAGACAATCAATAGGTGCCAATACTGAAATGACAACACAGCAGGGCCTAATCAACGTTTATAGAACACTCCATCCATCCAACAGCAGCGGAATAGACCTTTATTATGCTCCAGCAGAACATATACCAAGATAGACCGTAACCTGGACCATAAGACAAATATCAACTGATTTAAAAATGGAGTCATACAGAACATGTTCTCTGATGACCATGGACATAAGATAGAAACCAACAGTAGAAAGAAAGGAGGAAAATCTTATAATACTTCAAAGCTAAATGCACTTCTAAATAATTCATGGGTCAATAAGGAATTCTCAAGGGAAATAAATTTTAAATACATTGAACTGAATAAAAATGAAAACATACCAAACATTGTTGCACACAGCTAAAGCAGTGCTGAGGAAAAATCAAAGCACTAAATGCATACATTTTATCTAAAG